CCCCCACTGTCACTAGTCACCCGTCCTCACTGTGTCACTAGTCACCCCCCCACTGTCACCAGTCACCTCCTCACTGTGTCACTAGTCACCCCCCCTCACTGTCACTAGTCACCCCCCCACTGTGTCACTAGTCATCCCTTCCCTCACTCACTCTGTCACCCCTTCCCTCCCTCACTTTGTCGCTAGTCACCCCTTCCCTCCCTCACTTTGTCACTAGTCACCCCCTCCCTCGCTCTGTCACTAGTCACCCCCTCCCTCTGTCACTTGTCATCCCCTCCCTCACTCTGTCACTAGTCACCCACTCACTCTAGTGACAGAGTGAGTGAGAGTGTGACTAGTGACAGAGGGAGGGGGTGACTAGTTAGGGAGGGAGTGACTAGTGACAGAGGGAGGGATGGGGTGACACAGTGACAGAGGGAGGGATGGGGTGACTGGTGACAGAGTGAGGGAGGGGATGACTAGTGACAGAGTTAGGGAGGGAGTGACTAGTGACAGAGGGAGGGATGGGGTGACTAGTGACAGTCACCATCTCCCTCCCTCTGTCACTAGTCACCCCCTCCCTCATTCTGTCACTAGTCACCCCCTCCCTCACTAGTCACCCCCCCCTCACTCTGTCACTGGTCACCCATTCCCTCCCTCACTCTGTCACTAATCATCCCCTCACTCTGTCACTAGTCACCCTCTCCCTCACTCTGTCACTACTCACACCCTCCCTCACTCTGTCACTACTCACACCCTCCCTCACTCTGTCACTAGAGTGAGGGGATGACTGGTGACAGAGTGAGGGAAGGGGTGACTAGTGGCAGAGTGAGGGAAGGAAGGGGTGACAGGTGACAGAGTGAGCAGATGACTGGTGACAGAGTGAGAGAGGGGGATGACTAGTGACAGAGTGAGTTAGGGGGTGACTAGTGACAGAGTAAGGGACAAAGGGGGTGACTAGTGACAGAAGGAGGGATTGAGTAGTGACAGAGGGAGGTTGTGACTAGTGACAGAGGGAGGGAGGTAATGACTAGTGACAGTCACCACCTCCCTCACTCTGTCACTAGTCACCACCTCACTCTAGTGACAATGAGGGAGGGGGTGACTAGTGACAGAGTGAGGGAGGGAAGTGGTGACTAGTGACAGAGTTAGGGAGGGAAGGGGTGACTAGTGACAAAGTGAGGAAGGGGTGACTAGTGACAGAGTGAGGGAGGGAAGGGGGTGACTAGTGACAGTCACCCCCTCCCTCACTCTGTCACTGTGTCACCCCCTTCCTCACTCTGTCACTAGTCACCCTCTCTCTCACTCTGTCACTAGTCACCCTCTCTCTCACTCTGTCTCTAGTCACCCCGTCCCTCACTCTGTCACTAGAGTGAGGGGGTGACTAGTGACAGAGTGAGGGGGTGACTAGTGACACAGTGAGGGAGGGGGTGACTAGTGACACAGTGAGGGAGGGGGTGACTTGTGACAGAAGGAGGGAGGGAGTAGTGACAGAGGGAGGTGGTGACTAGTGACAGAGTGAGGGAGGGAAGAGTGTGACTAGTGACAGTCACCACCCCCTCCCTCACTCTGTCACTGTGTCACCCCCTTCCTCACTCTGTCACTAGTCACCCTCTCTCTCACTCTGTCACTAGTCACCCTGTCCCTCACTCTGTCACTAGAGTGAGGGGGTGACTAGTGACAGAGTAAGGGGGTGACTAGTGACAGAGTGAGGGGGTGACAGGTGACAGAGTGAGGGGGTGACAGGTGACAGAGTGAGGGGGTGACAGGTGACAGAGTGAGGGAGGGGGTGACTAGTGACAGAAGGAGGGAGGGAGTAGTGACAGAGGGAGGTGGTGACTAGTGACAGAGTGAGGGAGGTGGTGACTAGTGACAGTCACCACCACCCTCACTTTGTCACTAGTCACCCCTTCCTTCCCTCACTCTGCCACTAGTCACCCCTTCCCTCACTCTAGTGACAGAGTGAGGGAGTGACAGAGAGAGGGAAGGGGGTGACTAGTGACAGAGTGAGAGAGGGGGTGACTAGTGACAGAGTGAGGGAGGGGGTGACTGTCACTAGTCACCCAATCCCTCTCTCTGTCACTAGTCACTCCCTCCTAACTCTGTCACTAAACACCCCCTCTGTCCTTAGTGACAGAGTGAGGGAGTGACAGAGAGAGGGAAGGGGGTGACTAGTGACAGAGTGAGAGAGGGGGTGACTAGTGACAGAGTGAGAGAGGGGGTGACTAGTGAAAGAGTGAGGGATGGGATGACTAGTGACAGTCACCCCCTCTTTCACTCTGTCACTAGTCACCCCCTCTCTCACTCTGTCACCAGTCATCCCTTCCTTCCCTCACTCTGCCACTAGTCATCCCTTCCCTCACTCTGTCACCAGTCATCCCCTCACTCTGTCACCAGTCACCCCTTCCTTCCTTCACAGTGACAGAGTTAGGGAGGGAGTGACTAGCGACAGAGAGAGGGATGGGGTGACTAGTGACAGAGAGAGGGATGGGGTGACTAGTGACAGAGAGAGGGAGCGGGTGACACAGTGACAGAGTGAGGGAGCGGGTGACACAGTGACAGAGTTAGGGAGGGAGTGACTAGTGACAGAGTTAGGGAGGGAGTGACTAGTGACAGAGAGAGGGATGGGGTGACTAGTGACAGTCACCCCCCCTCACTCTGTCACCAGTCATCCCCTCTCTCTGTCACTAGTCACCCCTTCCCTCCCTCACTTTGCCACTAGTCATCTCTTCCCTCCCTCACTCTGCCACTAGTCACCCATTCCCTCACTCTGTCACTAGTCACCCCTATCTCCCTCCCTCTGTCACTAGTCACCCACTCCCTCACTCTGTCACCAGTCACACCCACTCACTGTCTCCCCCTCACTCTGCCACCACTTAACCCCTCCCTCACTCTGCCACCTGTCACAACCTCCCACACTCTTCCACCTGTCACCTTCTCCCTCACACACTCTGTCACTTGTCATATGCATTCACACTGACCCTATATACAAAAAAGCACATTTAGTCATCCAGACATGCACAAGAGCATTCACACAGACTCAAATACAAACATGCATTGATACACAGGTCTTCACAATACACACATCCAAAGGAATGCCGTATTATGAATTATATTTAACATTTATTTAATGCACATATATTTGGCCTTCAGAGGGCCTGGGATCTAATTTTGCCCGGGGGCCCCAAAGGCTCTCAGTCCGCCCCTGGGCACGGTTAAGTTTTAGTGAAGGTTTTACGATTTCCTGTTTTGTTTTAAAGCCAAGGATCTTATATCGCGACTGATGGAGATGGACCAGGAGCTAAGAATCACAGCGCAGGATGCACTGAGCCATACCTGGTGAGAGCCGGCGCCATCCCTCAGCGCAGGGTCTGGGTTCCAGATATCTCTCCTTTCTATAACAAAGTCTGTTTCCTCAGGATATCGGGGAACGCAGCCTCCGAGAGGAATCTCAAAGATGGAGTCTGTGCACAGATAGAGAAGAATTTCGCTAAAGCCAAATGGAGGGTCAGTGGTCAACACCAGACTATAGTGACCAGTCCAGAACCCTGATCCTGTAACAATACAGACTATAGCGACTGATAATAAACCGAGATCCTGGAACAATACAGACTATAGGGACCGATAATAAACCGGGATCCTATAACAATACAGACTATAGCGACTGATAATAAACCGAGATCCTGTAACAATACAGACTATAGGGACTGATAATAAACCGGGATCCTGTAACAATACAGACTATAGCGACCGATAATAAACCGAGATCCTGTAACAATACAGACTATAGCGACCGATAATAAACCGAGATCCTATAACAATACAGACTATAGCGACTGATAATAAACCGAGATCCTGTAACAATACAGACTATAGGGACCGATAATAAACTGAGATCCTATAACAATACAGACTATAGCGACCGATAATAAACCGAGATCCTGTAACAATACAGACTATAGCGACCGATAATAAACCGAGATCCTATAACAATACAGACTATAGCGACTGATAATAAACCGAGATCCTGTAACAATACAGACTATAGGGACCGATAATAAACTGAGATCCTATAACAATACAGACTATAGCGACCGATAATAAACCGAGATCCTGGAACAATACAGACTATAGCGACCGATAATAAACCGAGATCCTGTAACAATACAGACTATAGCGAACAATAATAAACCGAGATCCTATAACAATACAGACTATAGCGACCGATAATAAACCGAGATCCTGTAACAATACAGACTATAGGGACTGATAATAAACCGAGATCCTATAACAATACAGACTATAGCGACCGATAATAAACTGGGATCCTGTAACAATACAGACTATAGCGACCGATAATAAACCGAGATCCTGTAACAATACAGACTATAGCGACCGATAATAAACCGAGATCCTGTAACAATACAGACTATAGCGACCGATAATAAACCGAGATTCTGTAACAATACAGACTATAGGGACTGATAATAAACCGAGATCCTGTAACAACACAGACTATAGCGACCGATAATAAACCGAGATTCTTTAACAATACAGACTATAGTGACTGATAATAAACCGGGATCCTGTAACAATACAGACTATAGCGACCGATAATAAACCGAGATCCTGGAACAATACAGACTATAGCGACCGATAATAAACCGAGATCCTGTAACAATACAGACTATAGCGAACAATAATAAACCGAGATCCTATAACAATACAGACTATAGCGACCGATAATAAACCGAGATTCTGTAACAATACAGACTATAGCGACTGATAATAAACCGGGATCCTGTAACAATACAGACTATAGCGACCGATAATAAACCGAGATCCTGTAACAATACAGACTATAGCGACCGATAATAAACCGAGATCCTGTAACAATACAGACTATAGCGAACGATAATAAACCGAGATCCTATAACAATACAGACTATAGCGACCGATAATAAACCGAGATCCTGTAACAATACAGACTATAGGGACTGATAATAAACCGAGATCCTATAACAATACAGACTATAGCGACCGATAATAAACTGGGATCCTGTAACAATACAGACTATAGCGACCGATAATAAACCGAGATCCTGTAACAATACAGACTATAGCGACCGATAATAAACCGAGATCCTGTAACAATACAGACTATAGCGACCGATAATGAACCGAGATTCTGTAACAATACAGACTATAGGGACCGATAATAAACCGAGATCCTGTAACAATACAGACTATAGCGACCGATAATAAACCGAGATTCTGTAACAATACAGACTATAGCGACTGATAATAAACCGGGATCCTGTAACAATACAGACTATAGGGACCGATAATAAACCGAGATCCTGTAACAATACAGACTATAGCGACCGATAATAAACCGGGATCCTGTAACAATACAGACTATAGGGACTGATAATAAACCGGGATCCTGTAACAATACAGACTATAGGGACCGATAATAAACCGGGATCCTGTAACAATACAGACTATAGCGACCGATAATAAACCGAGATCCTGTAACAATACAGACTATAGCGACCGATAATAAACCGAGATCCTATAACAATACAGACTATAGCGAACAATAATAAACCGAGATCCTGTAACAATACAGACTATAGCGACCGATAATAAACCGGGATCCTGTAACAATACAGACTATAGGGACCGATAATAAACCGAGATCCTATAACAATACAGACTATAGGGACTGATAATAAACCGGGATCCTGTAACAATACAGACTATAGCGACCGATAATAAACCGAGATCCTGTAACAATACTGACTATAGGGACCGATAATAAACCGAGACCCTATAACAATACAGACTATAGCGACCGATAATAAACCGAGATCCTGTAACAATACAGACTATAGCGACTGATAATAAACCGAGATCCTGTAACAATACAGACTATAGGGACTGATAATAAACCGAGATCCTGTAACAATACAGACTATAGCGATCGATAATGAACCGAGATCCTGTAACAATACAGACTATAGGGTCTGATAATAAACCGAGATCCTGTAACAATACAGACTATAGGGACCGATAATAAACAGAGATCCTGTAACAATACAGACTATAGGGACTGATAATAAACCGGGATCCAGTAACAATACAGACTATAGGGACTGATAATAAACCGAGATCCTGTAACAATACAGACTATAGCGACCGATAATAAACCGAGATCCTGTAACAATACAGACTATAGGGACCGATAATAAACTGAGATCCTGTAACAATACAGACTATAGGGACTGATAATAAACCGAGATCCTGTAACAATACAGACTATAGCGACTGATAATAAACCGAGATCCTGTAACAATACAGACTATAGCGACTGATAATAAACCGAGATCCTATAACAATACAGACTATAGGGACTGATAATAAACTGGGATCCTGTAACAATACAGACTATAGGGACTGATAATAAACCGGGATCCTGTAACAATACAGACTATAGGGACTGATAATAAACCGGGATTCTGTAACAATACAGACTATAGCGACCGATAATAAACCGAGATCCTGTAACAATACAGACTATAGGGACTGATAATAAACCGGGATTCTGTAACAATACAGACTATAGCGACCGATAATAAACCGAGATCCTGTAACAATACAGACTATAGGGACCGATAATAAACCGGGATCCTATAACAATACAGACTATAGCGACCGATAATAAACCGAGATCCTGTAACAATACAGACTATAGGGACTGATAATAAACCGAGATCCTGTAACAATACAGACTATAGGGACCGATAATAAACTGAGATCCTGTAACAATACAGACTATAGCGACCGATAATAAACCGAGATCCTATAACAATACAGACTATAGCGACCGATAATAAACCGAGATCCTATAACAATACAGACTATAGCGACCGATAATAAACCGAGATCCTGTAACAATACAGACTATAGGGACCGATAATAAACCGGGATCCTATAACAATACAGACTATAGCGACCGATAATAAACCGAGATCCTATAACAATACAGACTATAGGGACTGATAATAAACCGAGATCCTGTAACAATACAGACTATAGCGACTGATAATAAACCGGGATCCTATAACAATACAGACTATAGGGACTGATAATAAACCAGGATCCTGTAACAATACAGACTATAGCGACCGATAATAAACCGAGATCCTGTAACAATACAGACTATAGCGACTGATAATAAACCGGGATCCTATAACAATACAGACTATAGGGACTGATAATAAACCGAGATCCTGTAACAATACAGACTATAGCGACCGATAATAAACCGGGATCCTATAACAATACAGACTATAGTGACCGATAATAAACCGGGATCCTGTAACAATACAGACTATAGGGACTGATAATAAACCGAGATCCTGTAACAATACAGACTATAGCGACCGATAATAAACTGAGATCCTATAACAATACAGACTATAGGGACTGATAATAAACCGAGATCCTATAACAATACAGACTATAGCGACCGATAATAAACCGGGGTCCTGTAACAATACAGACTATAGGGACTGATAATAAACCGAGATCCTGGAACAATACAGACTATAGGGACTGATAATAAACCGAGATCCTATAACAATACAGACTATAGCGACCGATAATAAACCGGGATCCTATAACAATACAGACTATAGGGACTGATAATAAACTGGGATCCTGTAACAATACAGACTATAGCGAACAATAATAAACCGAGATCCTATAACAATACAGACTATAGCGACCGATAATAAACTGGGATCCTGTAACAATACAGACTATAGCGACCGATAATTAACCGAGATTCTGTAACAATACAGACTATAGCGACCGGTTCTAAACCGTGATCCTATAACAATATAGACTATAGGGAAAGATAATAAACCGAGATTCTGTAATATTACAGACTATAGTGACCGATAATAAACCGGGATCCTGTAATTGTGTCTCTTTCTCCACCCCACAGAAAGCCATTCGAGTTACCACCTTCATGCAGCGTTTGAGGGCCCCAGAGACGAGCGCTGGCCGCCTCCCCGTCACCCCACGGTCCTCTATGAGTATGTCCCATGAAGTCACCGTGGAAGCCTGTCCTCCATCTCCAACAGCTTCTCCGTCTCCAACAAAACGCAGTCCCCAGAGACTGCTGGAACCGTCCGAGAGTCAGGGACAGATAACCGGACAGCAAGAGCATGGTGGAACTTAATGGCCAACCTGGCATATGCTCACATTCAGAGGGGGGCCTGTAGAGGTGGAGCTGGACCCACTACCCTGGATTTCACCGTTTGGGTGATTTCAGAGCTGGAACCGGGAAGTGGGTGAAGGTAAAGCAGGCCGAGGAGAAGGCGGACCACCAGGAATCTATGGGATTCGTGGGAGGGGGGTTATTAACTGATGCACTGACCACAGTGACTGGCCATGCCAGTGCTAGGAATGTAGCCACATAGTCCCTGGCAAGGAGCCAGCCAAGCCATTCTCCAGCCATTTCTGACTGCTCCCAGGTCAGGCAATCAATGCATGAGATCTGCATGTTTACATGGTGTAACCCTTACTCTGTTACAGAGGCCGGTACCCTGAGAGGCCAGGGGTTAAACCAAATAAAAGCAAATTACATAATGTGTGAGTCGTTACAGCTTCCGACACATACTGAGATGTCATCTGCCACCATTCCAACAGCCGTCCCTGGTACACAGCCTGGTATACCAGCCTTCCCTGGTACACACACTGTGCCAGCCTTCCCTGGTATACACTCACTGTGCCAGCCTTCCCTGGTACACACACTGTGCCAGCCTTCCCTGGTATACACTCACTGTGCCAGCCTTCCCTGATATACACACTCACTGTGCCAGGCTTCCCTGATACACACACTCACTGTGCCAGCCTTCCCTGGTATACACTCACTGTGCCAGCCTTCCCTGATACACACACTCACTGTGCCAGCCTTCCCTGGTATACACTCACTGTGCCAGCCTTCCCTGATACACACACTCACTGTGCCAGCCTTCCCTAATACACACACTCACTGTTCCAGCCTTCCCTGGTATACAGTCACTGTGCCAGCCTTTCCTGATACACACACTCACTGTGCCAGCCTTCCCTGATACACACACTCACTGTGCCAGCCTTCCCTGGTATACAGTCACTGTGCCAGCCTTCCCTGATACACACACTCACTGTGCCAGCCTTCCCTGGTACACACACTCACTGTGCCAGCCTTCCCTGGTACACACACTCACTGTGCCAGCCTTCCCTGATACACACTCACTGTGCCAGCCTTCCCTGGTATACAGTCAATGTGCCAGCCTTCCCTGGTACACACTCACTGTGCCAGCCTTCCCTGATACACACACTCACTGTGCCAGCCTTCCCTGGTATACAGTCACTGTGCCAGCCTTCCCTGATACACACACTCACTGTGCCAGCCTTCCCTGGTACACACACTCACTGTGCCAGCCTTCCCTGGTACACACACTCACTGTGCCAGCCTTCCCTGATACACACTCACTGTGCCAGCCTTCCCTGGTATACAGTCAATGTGCCAGCCTTCCCTGGTACACACTCACTGTGCCAGCCTTCCCTGATACACACACTCACTGTGCCAGCCTTCCCTGGTATACAGTCACTGTGCCAGCCTTCCCTGATACACACACTCACTGTGCCAGTGTTACAGATGCAGCAGTAAAGTGAGTCACATAGGTTGGTTGCCAAGTAGCAATATTTAACCCCTTAAGGACCAAACTTCTGGAATAAAAGTGAAGCATGACATGTCGTGTCCTTAAGGGGTTAAATATTGCTACTTGGCAACCAACCTATGTGACTCACTTTACTGCTGCATCTGTAACACTGGCACAGTGGTGTAATTTTAATTTAAAGACCATAAACAAACAGGAGGGGAGAGCACTAAACTGTGTGTGTATATATATATATAGAATGCAAGTAAATGATAAATAAAAATTAGTTCAACTTCAATGGCAGCCATTTCCCATAATGCCTCTGGATTTTGATTGTGCTGTGCTGCCCACACCGGCCGAATGACTGTGTGACATCATCAATAACCCTAAATTCAGTCTTTAATGATGCAATATGGGGGTCCCACCGCCACGCTGCCAAACACCCCACAGACATACAGTGAGAGCCCACAAACAGAGGAATTCCTTTATTTAACAGCCCTTCCTCCTATTGGACTAATCCTGGTGATGGAACTTATGTCAATGTGGGTCCATGCTGGGAAATTCCCATAATGCAATGCTGGGCTCTTGCTGAACATTGGGTTTAATATCATGAAGGCAGGGAAGGGGTTAAAGAAAGCTTGCATGGTGCAGGAACCCAAGAGGTTAAGTTTGATTAAAATGGTCCTTAGCAAAGTCCAAAGCTTGTAAGAGGGTTAAATAAACAATCGTGGGGTTCTGGGAGAGAAAGATTTAATAGTGCTTAGATGGGGTGTCTTGGAGGTTAATGAGGGGCTTCCGGCACAGTGGTGGGGTATCTGTAAGAAATTAGGGGTTACCTGAAGATGGGGTCTGGTATTTGGTAAGGATATGGTTAGTTGTACTAGGAGGGGTATCTGGCAATGGTGGAGTTAAGTATGCTAAGAAGGGTATTTGGCAGGGAGGGGGTTAATTGAACTAGGAGAGGTATTTGGCAGGGAGGTGGTTAATTATACTAGAAGGGGTATTTGGCAATGGTGGAGTTAAATATGCTAAGAAGGGTATTTGGCAGGGAGGGGGTTAATTGAACTAGGAGAGGTATTTGGCAGGGAGGGGGTTAATTGTACTAGTTGGGGTATTTGGCAGGGATGGAGTTAATTATACTAGGAAGGGTATTTGGCAGGGAGGTGGTTAATTATACTAGAAGGGGTATTTGGCAATGGTGGAGTTAAGTATGCTAAGAAGGGTATTTGGCAGGGAAGGGGTTAATTGTACTAGGAGGGATATTTGGCAGGGAGGGGGTTAACTGAACTAGGAGAGGTATTTGGCAAGGATGGAGTTAATTGTACTAGGAGGTTTATTTGGCAAGGAGAGGGTTAATTGTACTAGGAGGGGTATTTGGCAGGGAAGGGGTTAATTGTACCAGGAGGGGTATTTGGCAGGGAGGGGTTAATTGTACTAGTTTGGGTATTTGGCAGGGATGGCGTTAATTGTACTAGGAGAGGTATTTGACAGGGAAGGGGTTAATTGTACTAGGAGGGGTATTTGGCAGAGAGGGGGTTAATTGTACTAGGAGGGGTATTTGGCAGGGAGGGGTTAATTGTACTAGTTTGGGTATTTGGCAGGGATGGAGTTAATTGTACTAGGAGGGGTATTTGACAGGGAAGGGGTTAATTGTACTAGGAGGGGTATTTGGCAGGGAGGGGGTTAATTGTACTAGGAGGGGTATTTGGCAATGATGGGGTTAAGTGTGCTAAGAAGGGTATTTGGCAGGGAGGGGGTTAATTGTAGTAGGAGAGGTATTTCGCAGGGATTGAGTCACTTGTGCTAGGAGAGGTATTTTGCAGGGGGTGGGTGCGGTTAATAGTACCAGGTGGAGTACCTGGCAAGGAGGGGTTTAATTGAACTAGAAGGGGTATTTGGCAGGGAGGGGGTTAATTATACTAGGATAGTTATTTGGCAGGGAAGGGGTTAATTATACTAGGAGAGGTATTTGGCAGGGAGGAGGTTAATTGAACTAGGAGGGGTATTTGGCAGGGAACGGGTTAATTATACTAGGAAGGGTATTTGGCAGGGAACGGGTTAATTATACTCGGAAAGGTATTTGGCAGGGAGGGGGTTAATTGAACTAGGAGGTTTTTTGGCAGGGAGGGGGTTAATTGTTCTAGGAGGGGTTTTTGGCAGGGAGGGGGTTAATTGTACTAGGAGGGGTTTTTGGCAGGGAGGGGGTTAATTGTACTAGGAGGGGTTTTTGGCAGGG